AATACTAACCTTAGTAAACTATGTTTTTACAATTCATCTTCCAAACTCCAATTCAACAACTAGATTCGGAGAAGTCAAACGGAATTAATGTAATATGTTTCATTCTACTCATAAATTATGATCCATTAGCTTAATATACACTCACATAAAAATATAAGTATGTAGGTGTGATCTAACTGTTCAAACTTTATTGAATTTTCTCTGAAGAAAAAATACATAATACTATATCATAAATAGTAAATGGACGGTTGGTAATAGGAAACATGGATATGAATGAGGGGCTGTACATATGGATTGTTATTTTTATTAATAAATAATTGGAATTTGGAAAACAACTAATATTGTTTTGTTTATTGTGCATAAAGTAGGTAAGCATGAGCTGGGCCTTAATAAATAGATTTTGTGGTAATTTGGTCATTTGGGACTGTGGGCCCATACAGTTGCAAATGCCAAATACTGCGGTGGTCACGTTAGTGGGTATGGGTCCCACACGGGTTCGGTCGTAGCTGGCATTACACCGTAAGACTGAGATCCGGCCCGACCAGCTTCTTGCAGTTTTTGGATAGGCCCAGGCCCAATTAGAATCGATGGTGTCCCCATTTTCTATGTTTTTTACACTATTAACTCGGGAAATGTTACATAATCATGAACATCTTAATTTAATTACTAGTACGAATTTCGTGCGATACATAGATAAGAGATATTCATTAATATTTATAAATTAAAAACATAGAATCAATATATAATACAATGTATCTATATTAATTTATTGTAAATGTATGTTTATTTTAAAAATTAGTACACAACTCATGCGTTGCACAAAACTAATAGTAAAGTACATTATATTCGTTTCAATATAAGTTTCATTTCAAAATTTTTATTCAGAAATTATATTTGACTATAACGTGATTCTATAAAATAATTATTTTGTAAAATTTTATCATATATTTAAAAACCTATGTGAATAATAAGAATAAATAGAAAACTTATATTGTGTCATTAACTAAAATGAATTTATTTTTGTATAAAATATCCAAATAAAAAAATTTGAATTAGTTGAGTAAAAGTAATTAGTCATAAGATTTTTTATGCCAAAAAAATCGACACTCTTTATCATGGTAAAAAAAATGACTAGTGCAATTCACACAAAAATTATTTGAAATGTCGTAACATAAAATGAATTAAATTGAGACCCACTAATTATACAAGGGAAAAAAAATGACTAGAGTTTTTTTATAAAAAAAACATCGATACACGCACATTATATCAAAATATCCGTTCATATTATTTTGTCGGAGTTACGATAATTTTATTATGTTAATTTCATAAGAAAAATTGAAATAAAAATTGAAATGCACGCCTAAAAATTAATAAATACCAATAATATTTTCGTCCATTTTATACTATGTATTAATTAATTCATATGATTTGAGTAATTAAGGTATCTTAAAATATTGATTAATCTATACTTATATTAAAGGGAGTCCTATTTACCAAATTAAGTAGCCAGAAAAGTCAACAGCATTTATTGCATTACTATTTCCGTATTATACAATCTATACTTAGTATTATAATATTTTATTTATTTAATTAAATTATTTATTTATTTTATTTTAAAAAGATAAGTATAATAAAAAAGATTTTAATAATAAAAAAATTAAATACCAAATAAAAATATACACTTTGACTTATATGATTATATTTGGTATTTGATTATACCAAATATATTCCTATTTAGTATATACATTAAATACTTACTAAAGTATTTATTTGTTTTATTTGTCAAAGTTAAGTATAGATTTGTTTATATTATCAAATCATAAAAAAATATTAAATCCATATTGTAAAAAAAAAAAATCATATAATTTTATAACAATTCTACTACACTATTTAACAATATTCTTATTTTATTATATAATAAAATAATAATTAAATATTATATGGTGAACAACAATAAGTAAAAATGTTACTTTCTCTTATATCAAGAGATAAATTTATATGCTAAAATTAAATTTTTATTAGTATAAATGTTTTAGTGAGATAATATATTAATTATTTTACAAGCTAGCCCTAACATGCTCATATTTAATGTTTTAAAAGATGTAGAAAAAAACTTATAATAACTCTATTTTTTTTAGACTTAAATGTTGATTAAAAGAGGTAAAAATTCCTGATTTTTTAGACTTAAACGTTGATTAACACCATAGATTGAGAGTTTATATTTAGTAAAATTTTTAATTGTAATAAAAAAAATTAATTTTTTCTATATTTTAGAATATCTTTAAATTCATTATAATAAAAAAAGAAAAAAAAAACTACAATGAAAAAAGCAAGTCAGCTATATATCGAACTACTCAAATCACATTCACAATTTGGCTACAAGGAAAGGAAATTCATTGATTAAAATATTATTTTGTCAGTAGTCTTAATGTACAAGAAACTTTAAAACTCCACTTGAATATTATAAAACTTTTATTGAATATTGTACAATTTTCTTGCGTATTATAAACTTTTATTGAATATTGCATCTTATAATATAATATTCTCTAAATAAATATATCTTGTGCTTCGCACGAGTCACGTACTATATATATCACGTACATTTTTTTTTTATTAATTTATATAATTATAAGTCTGGATAAATAGTCTTAAAATTGTGCACCCCGTGCATCGCACGGGCTCTGTACTAGTTACTTCCTTAAATAACGTACCACAATTTCCATAATTGATCATTTAATATATACCATAAATTGTTAAAAATAGTAAATATATTTTTTGTAAAAACTATAAAAAATAACCAAGTTTTTTTATATAGATATAGATTAGTTTAAGACTGTAATTATAGCTAGCAGCAGTCATGAATTTCATTCAAATCAGATGTACTGAGACTCTTTTTTCTCTATTTTTTTTCTTTTATTTTTTGAACAACTGACTTTATTAATTTGCTTGTTTTTAGTCTTCCTTTTCTTTTAGCCTTTTTTCGTTACTTTTGCTATTTTATTAGATAATTGCTACTACTAGCTAATAATAAAATAACATTAAATGTTATTCTATTCTAAAGCTTTTTTCAAACTATTTATTTATTTTTTTTTTTCAACTCATTAAGCATACTAAAATTAGTTGATTATTTTTTATGGCATAAACAAACATTTTAAAATTTTGTACACAACTGCTATAATAATAATTTCAATATTATTTTATCCAATCATATCAACCAATATTGCATCAATATAAAGATATCTAAGTTAAATAATTTATATTTATATCGTTCGTTTTTACTAATGATAATTGTTGACAACCGACTTGATTTATAAGGCTTAAAGTAAAGATTACGAGTATTATTCAAAATTATTGCTCAAACCGGCTCATACGCCTAACTTGACGCAACTCGGTACAAGCTGAGTGTCAAACTGACTTCACGTTCAAGACAACAACCGACTTCTCAATGATTCCTTCTGAAGGTTCTCCCCGAGAACCGAGGTCCGAGATGACCGAAACACAAAGCAGATGACAAAACGCCCACATAATTGGACCACGTGCTACATTGCAATCATTACCGTACACCCATTGACCGACAAACCGCTTCATAAAGCTACTTTGCATTAAATTCGATCACACTTACCTCATACCGAAAGTCAAATACACACTACTATAAATAGCTAAATTTATTATTGTACAAGGGATCTTTGTATGCACATTTAACACACACATGCAAAACAACTCGGTTTACACAAAAACCGACTTCCTGTACTTTACAATTACACAACAATAATACAAAGTCTCAACTTTTACGCTTTAATTACATATTATTATCGTTGTTAAATTTCATAGAACAACATTAAAAATTTGGTTTAATGAACTTGAGAAATTTAATTAAAAATACAACTTTTTACTCGTGCATTTGTTAAAAGAATCATGTTTTCTTATCAAATACACTTGTGTTTTCTTACTCATGGTTGTGATGTGACAATAAATAAAATGTAGATAGTAAATAAAGAAATTTGTTTTTTACCTCAAAGTAAACAATCATATACAAAACATAAATTAATTTTCATTTTAAGTTTGTTTGATTCTAAAAACTTGTATACAATTATGTCTCACATTACATTGAATTCAATTTATTATCATGCCTAGAGGATCAATGCATTAAATCCTATATGTAACACTGGCCATGAATTGGAAACTCTACGCTAGCTGCAAATCATCATTTAAGAACGACATTGACAACTGTATTCAAAAGGAAGTTATGTACATTTCCAATTAACTCTAACCCTATTATTATTTGCTATGAAAATCATAATATGCATGGAGGAAACTGAATTATTCGACCAGACTAAGAGTAGGTTCATAGAAAGAGTTATAGTACTTTAATTAACAAATTAGTAAATAAAATTATGAAATCCACCAAGAAGTATCTGGATGTGATTTTCTTACATGGATTGATTTGAAACCATGCATAAACTCACATATAGTTTGTCAGGATGTATTATTTTGACATTATTGATTTGAAACATCAGAAATTCTAAACCCTACAAAAACTGACATATAAAATTACTACACACTACATTTATACAAAATTAATGTATTTGAGATTGATGTGAATGAATAGTAGATAATGGTAATTTGTTTAGTTATCAGGCATGTCTATCGTATAGACTACATACATTTTTCTTTAATTAAGTGCATTAATATCCAAGTTAAGATTTTTGCACTTAACCTTCAAAATGATTGTTTTCTGGAGGACTAAACCAGAATTTGGCTTGGCTGGTCACAAAAACATAAAGATTTTGCTGACGAAAAATTATATTAATGCAAATGAACCGCCAAAGAGATTAGAAATAGAGTCAGTTTGATTTGCTTGGACTTTTATCAAATGCTCCATACTGCTGTTGTCATCGTTTTCATCTCTTTCTGAATAAATAATAATGATCCACCGATAAGTTACTGAAAAACATGAGCCTGAAAATAAACCCAAGAGAAGAGAAAAAAATTCAAGAAAATATTTTTCCAGTGCTTTCCTTTTTTATCTTTTTTCTTTATGAGATGGAAGAAGTTGCATGGTCCATGGTGCAGACAATCGGGACCCATTTCACGGTTAACGGTCTAAACCCATTTTACGTGCATGGGTTCAACACCTACTGGCTGATGGTTTTTGCAGTGGATGAGTTGAGCCGAGTAAAAGTGAGTGAGGTGTTTCAACAGGCTTCGGCTGTGGGCCTTTCGGTTTGCAGGACATGGGCTTTCAACGATGGCCAGTGGCGGGCCCTTCAGAAATCGCCTTCCGTTTATGACGAACAAGTTTTCAAGGTACAACACTTAAACCAATTTTAATGCCAAAATAGTCTAAAGACATTTTGCATAAAAATTAAAGTTGGTCATTTGATGATCCTGATCAGGGCCTTGATTTTGTCATAAGCGAAGCGAAAAAGTACCGAATAAGACTCATATTGTCGCTAGCCAACAACTGGGAAGCGTACGGCGGAAAACCGCAGTACGTGAAATGGGGCAAATCCGCTGGTCTCGGTTTAACATCCGATGATGATTTCTTCTCTCACCCGACTTTAAAGAGCTATTACAAGTCTCATGTTAATGCAAGTTCCTTTTTTCTCCATTCGAAATGCTTAAGCTTACTTTGGCCTATATATATAAAGCATGATCTGTTTCCTCATTTTTGTCTGCAGACAGTGCTGAACAGAGTTAACTCTATAACGAACATAGCCTACAAAGAAGACCCGACTATTTTTGCTTGGGAACTGATAAACGAGCCACGTTGTGAATCGGATCCCTCTGGAAATAAGCTGCAGGTTTGATCATAGCCTCTGATAATAAATTTGAAGTCATGCACAGTTCTTTAGTTTTTGAGTTTGTGAGTGTTAAATTTACAGGGTTGGATAGAAGAAATGGCAGTCTATGTGAAAAGTATTGATCCCAAGCATTTGGTGGGGATTGGGCTTGAAGGCTTCTATGGTCCTTCAACTCCCGACAAAGTTCGACACAACCCAAATACTTATGCTCAGCAAGTTGGTACCGATTTCATCCGAAATCACCAAGTTATTGGGATTGATTTTGCTTCTGTTCACATCTATCCAGAGTCTTGGTGAGGACCTATATAACAAGCTTTTATCCCAAACCCAACAGAAATATATGGTTTTATAGAAATGTTGCAAACAACCGTTTTTAGTGTTTCCTTATACTAACTCTTGCTTCTGATCTTGCATGATTTAGTAAGAATCAGGGGCTAGTGTGACTTTCACATACATATAGATTACTTCTTTAACTTCTTCATCAAACAATAAACAATCTTCTAAACTTTACCTTTCGCCTTTATACTCAAAAGTCGAAAATTTCAGGGTATATCTAAATTGGTAGCTCTAAATAGCAAATGTGCATTCTTTTTTTTTTTTTTTTTTTTTGCTGAAGGATTTCTCAATCAACAACGAATGAACATGTCGAATTCACAAAATCATGGATGCAAGCTCACATTAATGATGGCGAGACGTCCCTTCACATGCCAGTCGTGTTTTCCGAGTTTGGCGTATCTAGAAAAGAACCTGGATACAATTTGACTTACCGTGACACCCTCATAAGCACGGTGTACAATACTCTTTTGGACTCGACCAAAAAAGGGGGCAGTGGAGGAGGTAGCCTATTGTGGCAGGTCTTTCCTGAGGAGACAGAGCATATGGATGATGGATATGCCATTGTTCTTTCCAAGTCACCTTCGATGAAAAATATCATATCTGTTCACTCCAAGAGGCTAAGTACCTTCTGTTCTGTTCTTTCTGAGAGATGCAAATGGGGCTGCAAGAAAAGGCATGCCTTCGAGAAGCCGGTTTATCATGATGAGCTTTAACGACATTAACTACGCTTTATGTATAAGTCAAGGAGCACTGAGGAATATATGTCGAATAAATTTGTACTTTTCTTATATATATAATAATCTCAACAAGACTTATATGTCGAAATCCACAAAAGCTGAGATGAAAATCCTTTCCTGTAGGCAAGCAAGACTTTTCACCATATGATCACCTTTGGCTCATCTAAATGAAAAACGTGCAAGCAACACTCAACAACATAGTCGTTTAGTCCCAAGCAAGTTGGGGTAGGCTAGAGATGAAACCCAAGAGAACCAATGGTAGTAGCAAAAAATCTCATCATTCATATTTGAAATGAAATAAACACTTGCATGAAGATTTACACTCACTGCTTCATTAAACTGAATTTCGAGATAACAGCAGCAGCTTGATCGCCGCCTAACAAAAAATAAGGATGCCTCAGAGCAGCTGCAGCCGATAACCTTCCCCTTCTTAAGTAACCTCTCTTCGAGATAAGTTTTGTAGCCAAATCCCACCCTCTACCCGAATCAAGGTCCAGAATACTGAGATCGGGTCTCATTCGTGTTTTCTCTCTCCATCTGTTCAGATCATAACCAACCACTTTCAGTTCTACATTAAAATTCTTCAGCCCCGATGTGGACCTCAAGGTTGGCACCGCCATTTGCATGAGTACTATTCCAGCAGAATACGTATCAAATAGATCAGGACTATTCAGCTGCAGCAAAACAGCAGACGGGTTTTGCTTATAAATGTGCTACATTTTTCTGACTGACAAATTTTCCATACATAGCCAGAAAAAAAAAAATGAGCGAATCGCTATACCTGCCATAAAATTGGAGAAAGGAAGGCTGCAATTGGCTCTGGTGGTGGATTTGGAGTTTCCTCAGGCATTACATAAAGTTCAGGTGGACAGTAATCAGGGTCAAGCAAGCCACGATTCGGGACGTAGTTTTTGCCTATGCGGAGGTCTGTGGCTGCCCCAAAGTCGATTAGTTTGATTTTCCCCTTTTTGGTGACCACCAAATTGGATGGCTTCACATCTCGGTGAACTATTCCTGTGTCGTGGATTTTCTTGAGGGAAGTAATTATCTGACGCATAATCTGTTTGATAATTAGCGCATTACGCTCCAAAGACTCCAGCCCACGCAGAACACGTCCAAACATGACAGATTCTAAATTTAAAGGAAATTTTCGGTCTTTTATGTAATCGTCCAGGTCTAAATCTCCCTGCATGAAGCTTCTAATAGTTTAGTGCAGCTAGCAAATGTAATGATGAAATTTCTCAATCCTGTATGATTATATTGTGCATGCGGCCTCTATAACACGGTCACTCAAACACAACACACATTACACATTGAAAATATAAAGCAGCAATATTTTCTCAAGAGTCGAGACAGATCAAGCACCTCATATTTCCAGACGAGCCATTTCTCACCCTTCGTAAATTGAGTGTTGGTTTTATCCGCAACAAAACTTCCTAGAAATTCTGCACACGTCTCGGGAGCTGCCCTCGACAGCCTGTAGTTAAACCACTCCTCAAACTCTCCACACTCAACTGCCCCTTGAACTCCTATTTTAACCTGTAGATAACACCAAGATTCGATTTTTGATAATTCTTTATATATCTCTTCCGATGAAGTACAAGGAAACTAACATCAATCTTCTATTACAATGACAAAAATCAAAGTATATGAAACTCAATGGTGGCCAACACATGTACCTTCTTGAGAATAACTTTTTCTTTAAATCTCTCCTCCATCAGGAGAGCTCTTCTAGTTCCCTTTTTTCGATAAATTTCGTCCAAAGTAACGTTCTTGGGAACAACCACTCCAGAATAAACAACACCAAACGAGCCCTCACCTATTATATTACCAACCAAGAAATCAGTCCTCTTCAAGCTCCTCCTCCCACTCAAGGTGTCCTGGCCCACTTGCAGAGGAGCCAAAATATATGAATCAATGGCCCCTAGAAGAACACCAGGCCTAGCAGTCAAATAAATCCAGGTAACTCCAGCAGAAACAAAAAGACCCCATTTTTGAGCATCAGGGAGCTCCTCGGTCACTCTCAAAAAATGTTGAAAAGCTGGATACTTGAACAGTAACTGGTCCAGATGAAGTGGGTTGTTGGCCAAAAGATTGTCAGAAATGTCGTTTAAGAATGCATTGCATTTGGTGGAATTTTTGTTACAAGGGTTGTTGGCGAAGGACCAAATGAGGCTATGAGGAAAGTGTCTTGGATATCTTGATGGAAGGAATCTAATGGGTTTGGAGTCTTGATGAAATGTAGCTGTGGGATATAGATATGAAGCCATGGGTTTGAGATGAGTGATTCGAAACAGGCATCTCAGGTAATGTTTGATACTTTTCATTTATATGATTTCCTCTTTTTTTTTTTTGTTTTCAGCTGAGAAGTGCGTGTCTCCACGCGTCAATCCTAGGTTTATCCTCACGTATGGATATGTGGAGCAAAAGAAAACAACGATGCAGCACAGCTTCTTCATTTTTTCGCCTGTAGAGGCTCATCGTCTTCTAATGTATGACATTTATGTTTAAAAATCAGTAATTAGTTAAAAATTTGTCTTTTANTCTTGTTCGGTTTCCTGTCACTTTCTTGGCACCAGAAATCCTTCCATGGCGCAAAAGTGTTCATTAGTTCCCGAATGGATAAACAGATGGATTTGAGGATTGACGAGGTGTTCAATTTCAGGCACGAAAGGTAGAGAGCAAATTAGGTGAATGGTTTGGTACAATGTTGCGGTGCAGCTTGGTAGAGCAATTTAGATAACACCGTTTTTAGTGACTCTGAAGGTTGTGTAGCTCTTGTCAAAACGGCTTACTTCATCTGTGAAAATTCAAGACTTTAACAAAGGCTTTTCCTTAGTAAGGTGTTTTGGATTATTAAGATATTGTGAGGACTTTGATTTCAGGACTGAGCTTTTGTCTTCAACCATTTGCACCTAGAAAACGGAGTTAATTGGTTTTAAACTCTCTGTTAAAGCCCTTTTTCCTTTTCTATGACCAGCCGTGAAAATGGTTGTGGAACTGAAGCCAAACCCACTCTTTGCAAATTTGAGAGGTTTCTTTTGAAGGAGATTAGACAGGTAAACTCTTGGATTTGATTTGGACTATCATCAATCAATTAGTAATTTGCTTAACCCAATAGAAGAACTTTCTCCATTGGAGCTTGAATGAATATCGATGTGAAATGAAGAATTATATATTTTCCACCGAATGAGAAAAGGGAATGTATGGGAGGTATTGCTTGAACTTGTATTACTCGTAGTTTCTTACCATGTCATCACGAATTAGCGTGGAACTAGTTATATTTTAAGTATGATAAAGGGTAAAAGGGTATGGTATCTACTTAGTGTATCTTACCTGATGTTTGTTGCATCTGAACCGTGAACAAATTCTTGTGTGTGCTGTGTATTTTCTATCCCGGTTGAGGATGAGATGGATATTTATACCCTCGATGACTTTATTAATTTTGAGAGCCTAGCTTACCCGCAACAAAAATCAGTACATTTTATAATTTCCTGTTTCATAATAATTATTACATTGAGTTGATTCCCCAGCTAGCTTGTTTCATAATACAAGCAAGTCGTGTTTTCCTATCTCAATTCTGATCAACAATGTGATTGTTGGGAAGAAAATCGAGGTTGTAAAGAGCCGACACCAAGAGCAAAGACGAGACAGCAACGGGCAAAGGCCCAAAGAGCCACAAGAGGAGAGGGAAAGCGAGGCAGAGCAGTCTATTCCCCACCACCGCCAGCACGAAGCCTCTCTCGACCACCGTATCCGTGTAGCCTGCAGCAGGAGAAAACTCCCCAATTGCGTTAATCAGAAAATTCGCATCCACCAGAAAGGCCACCGCCAAGGAGCTGCACAGAAAGCTGGCCGCCAAGAATAGAGAGGCCGACCCGTATTTGAGGGCCATCATCCGGCCCGACTCTGACCCCAAGGACAGGAATCGGCCCGCATTATTGAAGGCATTGTTGGCGAGAGCTCCCAAGGAGAGTGTGACGAGGATGGTCACTGTTGCCATTAAAATGGCAAACATGAGCGTGTTTCTCAAGCTCTGTACTGCAAGCATGCCCTTCTTGTCATCTCCCTGCATTATTCAAAATTACTTTTCTTTNAAAGAGCTAGAACCTAGAATGTGTGTATGGAAGGAAAAGTACTGGCCTGATTGAGTTGTCGTAGCCATGCGCGGCGTTTGAGCATGTTGAGGCCGATGGAAGTTGCATAGGGTCTGTGCTTGAGGTTGTGCCACAAGTAAGCATGGTAGCCTATTGTGAAGAAGATGCTAATGGGAACTAATATGCCATCCACATAAACATAGCCTCCCATTTTGGTTAAATTTAATCCTCTGATTGCCATATTTATAGATAAGTAGATCTTAGCTAGCTGCTAGTGATTGAGTTTAGAGTTTGAGGAGTAGATTTTCCACCAAAGGAGCTGCTTTAATCTGATTGGGGTGGACTGTGACGTCATTGATGGAAAGGAAAGGAAGAGATACACTGAATAAAAGTAGACATTTTGGTGGGAGTTGGACGTGTACCAAATTCACAATTTACCATCTTTTATTATTCACTTGAATGCTTTTTTTAGTTTTTCTAGCCAAGTCTCAAGTTATGGAGACCACAGTTTGCTCTACATTCATGACACATGTTTTCTTGTCTTGTTATGTGTAAGTTTTTTTGTTGCTTTTTAATCTCATATCTTTATGATGCTCTTTAATGTTAATGTCAGGTCTGTATCTGTTACAACTTACAATAGTATTAAAGAGTTTGATACTCTTTCTCTTCACGTATTTTGGTTTATCTCTCGAGGTCTTAACGAGCCGAGCTCGAGAAGTTCGTGTGGTTAGCTCGGCTCGATAAGACTCGAAAAGATAATTTTTATACAATTTTCTATAGTTCAATTCGTTAAAAACTTAAAACTCAAGATTGGCTCGAACTCGACTTGTTAATAGTGATAAACGAGCAGAGCTCGGGCTCAATTTCTGGCTCGTTTATTTAATGAGCTAAGCTCGACTCTACTTGTTAAGGGCTTGAGTTCGAACTCGAGAACCATAAGTTCGAGATCAGCTCGGCTCGTTTATAGGTCTATCTCCTGCTTATTTTTGAGCAATACTGAAGAGGTTCAAACCTTTTGTTGAAGTCCAACAACTCACTAAGAAATGTGGCTAACATGGCCACAAGGCCCACAACTCAACGAGTTCCCAACTTAGCTAATTGGGTCTACTGGCCCACTAATTTGCAAACTAGTCATCGAGTTTTTTGCATGAAATTTTTGGTAAAAGAGAACACACAAGTTCACACAAACACGTACACAACCAAAAATAATACATTCTATACACTAGTTAGAGAGATGAATATCTCACATTAACAAGAAGAAACACAAGCCAAAATTAGTATAAAAACTTTGCTGACAGATAAAGTGTTGAAGATTTTAATTAGACTTCATCAACTGGCAAGAAACGTGTCAAAAATTTGTCTCTCATGATAACTTTTTGCTGCACAAGTGGCATGGTTAAAAAGTTCATAGCGTTAATCCAAAACCATCGATACAATTCTCTTTTGGCTTTGTTCGGTTTCATCTGTGTTTATGTTAATAGACAATGGTGTATCATACGCTTACAGCTGCTTGTTAACTCATCCTGCTGTTCATTTTTTAACCTTCGTTTTATTTGCTTGTACAATCAGTTCAAAGTTTCAGAGTTGCTTTTNTTTCGAAAAATTTCAGAGTTGCTTCAAGGATAAAAAACATATCTTTTTGCTATATCGGCGCTATTGAGGATCTGGGTCTTGATTTACCTTTGTGTACTGTATAGCGTTGCTCGAGATTCGTGCTTACTCGGCATAAAGTTTGAGTCTTTACTAGTGGGCTTTTGATCAAGTTCCTTGATCTGGGCTCAAACCTACCTGCTTCAACCTTTTCTCCTTCCTGTCGAAGGAAAGTGAGGCAGAGCGAAGAAAAAATGAGAGAAAATTTTAGTATTTTGGCTTGTGTCTGGTTTGCACTCCTTGGATCTTGTTTGGCGAGGTTTGTAGTTGAGAAGAACAGTTTGAAGATAACATCACCTGAGTCACTGAAAGGTGTTCATGAATGTGGAATTGGGAATTTTGGGGTGCCCGAGTATGGAGGTACAATGGTTGGAACTGTGTTGTACCCCAAATCCAACCATAAGGCATGCAAGAGTTTCGACGATGGTGATGTTTCCTTCAAGCACAAGCCCGGTGGCATTCCAGTTTTCCTGCTTGCAGACAGGGGAGGTAAAAGTTCAGAGTAGCTTACAAATTTCATCCCCAATTTGTCCGAATTGGATTTGCACCTTCTTTTCCTGTCCCCTTTTTCTGGGTTTTAGTGAAAAATTCGGGGATCTTTGATAATTTTTGCATTTGCTTCTGTATTATGTTTTTCCTTGTTTCTAGCTGTCTAGTTGTGTTTGCTCACCTTCTCCATGATTTTCAAGTGCCTCTGCAGTGTCTGTTCTTGTAAATGAAATAGACTTTTCTTTCACTAAAGAAATCTCAAGTTCTGCTCAACGCATTCTTATGATAATAATTTCACATGACCTGTGGTTTGGTAGTGACTCAGCTACTTTGGCAGATTGCTATTTCACGCTGAAAGCGTGGAATGCTCAGAATGGTGGGGCCGCAGCCATTCTAGTAGCCGATAATCGAGTGGAGCCTCTTATCACCATGGACACCCCTGAGGAAGAAGACGCACGTGCAGATTATTTGCAGAACATATCTATTCCATCTGCACTCATTAGCAAGGAGCTCGGGGACAAAATTAAAAAGGAACTAGCTAATAGCCGTATGGTCAGCATAAATCTCGACCGGAGAGAGTCTCTCCCACACCCAGACGAGCGAGTTGACTACGAGCTATGGACCAACAGCAATGACGAGTGTGGTCCTAAGTGCAATGCCCAGTTGGATTTCGTCAAGGATTTCAAGGGGGCTGCACAGATACTGGAGCAAAAAGGATACACTCAGTTCACCCCGCATTACATAACTTGGTATTGTCCCGAGGCTTTTATACCGAGCAAGCAGTGCAAGTCTCAGTGTATAAACCATGGGCGGTATTGTGTTGGGTTGGGTACACTCGCAACACGTGGACACTAACGTAGTTACTTTATTAGATTAACAAAGTAATTACACAAACACAATATGGACCAAGATACAATACTTCACTTATCAAGACCAAAACACACTAACTATGACACTCACACACTATTTTACTTAGACTCTTAGATGCTTGAATTATTGGGATACTTTGCAAATAAGGTGGTCTTTCCTATTTATAGCCACCCCTTCCTCTAAAGAACTATCTAGAACTACTCACATGCAAGGGGCTTCCCTAACACTCTTGCCATTTCTAGACTATTCTAAAACTTACTAATATTTTGTATAATGTTCTAGACTCATCCACATAAGTCTAGTTCCTACAATATTCCACAACCTTCTTGTAGTCTCTATTACCTTCTAGAATTTTCTACGTCCTTCCGCTAGTTTCCACAAGCTTCTCAATCCTTTCACAAAATTCCGGAACCTTCCACATTTTTCCGGGTCGTTCTAGATGCTTCCGGAACCTTCCACAATGTTCCACGACGTTCCACATTTTTCCGGATTGTTCTAGATGCTTCCGGGTCCTTCCCAAAAGGAGGTGTTGATACTTTAACACTCCCCCTCAACACCGACTTTTGCTCGTTCGTTGTTATCGGCCACCTTACGTCGAGAAACGCATCTTCACATAAGTTTGAGCTTGTAAATATTTTCCTCGTGTGCTTTAGGCTTGGTACTCTTACTCTCGCTGATCTATGGGCTTGTGGGCTCTTGACACTTGACTGATCTTCTACTCTTATCCAATGCTCGTTGACTTGCCCCTGACTTATTAGCTCGTCTTCAACTCTATCTTCCTTACCCGATTCTTTTTCACCACTGTCGGAGATTGGTAGCATCAAGTTGTCAACTGTCACCGGACGCTCTTCACTATATTCTGTCGAATCTAGTAACTCTTTCATGTCTCCTGTTTCGTCACTCGAGCTTCTAAGATTATCTACCCATTCATCATTTGAGTCGACAAGCTCAGCGACCGTTGCCGTTAAAGCCATCTCGACTTCTTCACCAGCTTCTTCTTCTCCAATTACGGCTGACAATGCTTCAAGGTCCCATTCGTCTTCACTTTTGTGAGCCTCATCCGACGTGACTGCATTTCCTTTTGCTGGCTTCTTCCTCGACCAACAATTCCTCGCGATGTGTCCTTTCTTTCCACAGTTATAGCATTTCCCTTCAAATCTTTTACTTTCTTGAGGTTGACCGCTCAAATTTTCTTCCCTTTGTGCTCCCCCTAAATGAGCACTCCTCTCGTCTTCATTTTTGTCGTTGTCGTTTCTTTTCCTCCAATGACAATTTTTATTGTATCGACCTCCGATATTCTTTACGAAAAGTAATTCTTCATCATTCTTGGATGAGGCTTGGAACATTTGCTTAGCTAATGCTTCTTGGTCAGCTAGCAAATTTTCCAACTCTACGAGAGAAGGTTGTGTGGGCCAACCTTGCACAGCAGCAATAAAACTTCTATATTCTTGCCTCAATCCATGAATGATTATTCTCCTAATCCGAGAATCCGACATACCAGCAGACGAATCTAAATTAGAAATTTCACGACAAAGAGACTCTACCTTAGCAAAATATTGGTTTATCGTCATGTCTTGTTGCGAGATGGAGAGGAGCTCGTTCTCTAAAAGTTGCAACCTCGCATCGTTCCTCTTCGAGAACAACCCCGCGAATGTGTCCCATGCGTCTTTCGGTGTCTTTGCATCTCTAATGTGCTCTAGCATCTCTTCCTCGATGGTGGTCTTGATAGCGAACATGGCCTTGCCAGCTTTAACCTTCCATTTCTTCAAAGCTGCAGAGTCCTCTGGTGGTGTAACCTCACTACCGCTCACAATTTCGCACAAATCTTGACCTTGCAAATATGACTCCATGTACGTCGACCACATGCTGTAATTTTGATTGTTAAGCTTCTTGATACCTCCAACCACTTGAAGGTCTCCCATCGTGGCTCCACCCGATCAACTTGCCACACACTCTGCAGTACTAAACTGCACACGACCTTTGCAGTACGAAACTGCAAAACTACGATCAAGAAGCTGGACACAACAACTCGTACCTCAACCAACACCAGACCTAACGCGTCTGGCTCTGATACCACTTGTTGGGTTGGGTACACTCGCAACACGTGGACACTAACGTAGTTACTTTATTAGATTAACAAAGTAATTACACAAACACAATATGGACCAAGATACAATACTTCACTTATCAAAACCAAAACACACTAACTATGACACTCACACACTATTTTACTTAGACTCTTAGATGCTTGGATTATTGGGATACTTTGCAAATGAGGTGGTCTTTCCTATTTATAGCCACCCCTTCCTCTAAAGAACTATCTAGAACTACTCACATTCAAGGGGCTTCCCTAACACTCTTGCCATTTCTAGACTATTCTAGAACTTACTAATATTTTGTATAATGTTCTAGACTCATCCACATAAGTCTAGTTCCTACAATATTCCACAACCTTCTTGTAGTCTCTATTACCTTCTAGAATTTTCTACGTCCTTCCGCTAGTTTCCACAAGCTTCTCAATCCTTCTACAAAATTCCGGAACCTTCCACATTTTTCCGGGTCGTTCTAGATGCTTCCGGAACCTTCCACAATGTTCCACGACGTTCCACATTTTTCCGGATTGTTCTAGATGCTTCCGGGTCCTTCCCAAAAGGAGGTGTTGATACTTTAACATATTGTTCACCCGATCCCGAGCAGGATTTCAGCAGAGGGTATGATGGGAAGGATGTTGTCGAGCAGAATTTACGCCAGGCGTGCTTTTTTAAAGTAACGAATGAGAGTGGAAAGCCGTGGCTGTGGTGGGACTATGTAACGGATTTTTCAATCCGTTGCCCGGTGAAGGATAACACGTACACGGAAGAGTGTGCTAATGAAGTCATTCGCTCATTCGGTAGGTCATATATTATTCATCTAACAAAATCTGATTTATATTTTCAAGATTTTTTTAACGTTTATATTAATGTGTATGATATTGTTTTTCGTTCGAATCTAGTTCATAGTATCATTATATAAATATGCTTACCTGCTCATTGATTAATGATTTTGTGCAGGTGTTGATGTAAAGAAGATTGATGAATGTGTTGGAGATACCGAGGCAGATGTTGAAAACCCGATTCTAAAAGCCGAACAGGAAGCACAGGTGCCATAATTTTTTGAGTCTTTACAATTTTCCATGTCAACCTTTAGCGGCAGGCTTTGTAAGAGTTATTTAACTGTTTTGATGCAATTTTATTTTATTTTTTATTTTTTTATTTTTTTTTTCAGATCGGGAAGGGCACACGAGGAGATGTTACTATCTTGCCAACTCTTGTTGTGAACAATAGACAATATAGAGGTAATTATAATATTTTTTTTCTTGAAATTGAACTCCTATTTGCATCAAAACGGAAAATAATGGGGTGGGATTTTGATGTATTTTTTTTTCCCTATTCAGGTAAGCTGGACAAGCGAGCAGTTCTCAAGGCCATTTGTTCAGGCTTTGAGGAGACTACAGAACCCGCGATTTGTTTGACTAGAGGTCATTTTTCTTATATTATTGCACAGCATGTTAAAGTGTATTCCTTGTCCGTGCTATTTGAATTTGCAATTTGTTCCTTTGTGTTGATCAATTTTCTTTTAAATGTTGGCGGACAGATATAGAAACAAATGAATGTTTGGAGAACAATGGTGGATGCTGGCAGGATAAGGCCACCAACATAACTGCTTGCAGGGTGCTCAGATCTTTATGAAACTCACTTCATTCTTTGCAGTGTATTTAACTTTTATGTGATCTGGTTGAGTTTTTCACAGGATACTTTCCGAGGAAGGGTTTGCGAGTGCCCCATTGTGCAAGGTGTGAAATTCGTTGGCGATGGTTATACTCATTGTGAAGGTAATTATTCTACCATCTTTTAGTTTCAAATAAAAAGAAATTTAATTATTATCTGGACATGGACTTAGTTTCGTCACACTTTCTGGTTTGACAGCTTCTGGTTCATTGAGATGTGAAATAAATAATGGAGGATGTTGGAAGGGGACAAAAGATGGAACAACATATTCGGCATGCATTGTGAGATTTACCGTGTCACGATCTTTTTTTTTTTCTCCTCCCGATTTTTAGTATTATTGTTCTCTCACTATGCTTTTTTAATTTGGCCAATTTATTTCAGGACGATCACACAAAAGGCTGCAAGTGTCCAGCAGGGTTCAAGGGTGATGGAGTTAATAACTGTGAAGGTACACATTATGATTTCAGCAGATCGAGATGAATTTCTTGGGATGACCTTAGTTTCAATTATCGACTATTTTTAAATTTGGATGCCACCTAGATATTGATGAATGCAAAGAAAAGCTAGCTTGCCAGTGTCCGGAGTGCAAATGCAAGAACACTTGGGGGAGTTTTGAGTGCAGTTGCAGTGACAATTTATTTTACATACGCGAACACGACACGTGTATAGGTAAGCAATTACTTAATTCTGATCATCTATACTACTCTAAAAGGACGAGTGTTTTTGTAAAAATATGAACTACCTAAAAAACCCTTACTTTGGCATATTTTTAATGGCAAATTAGTAATAAACTAATACACATCATATTTTATATTTTTAAATATAAAAATGAATTACCTAAAAAACCCTTACTTTGACATGTTTTTAATGGCAAATTAGTAATACACTAATGTCCATCATATCTTTTATTTTTAATTATAACTAATATGTAATTAATTAAATACAAATACATGAACAAATCATTCCATACTCCTAAAATCAACTACAATATGTTTGTTTGGCACTATTATTTCTCACGAATTTGTTTTCTTTCACATATCTCTAAAACTGTTTGATTGGATATAGAATTGTTGTTTTGAAAAACGTCATTATTTTTAATATAATTTTAATGGTAATATTGTAATCACATTTCATAACTCTAATATATAAAAGTTCTTTAAAGAAATTAAAATTGATCCAACAAAAAAAGCATAATAAACACATATAAAACTAGAAATCGATATTATTTTTTTTCATAACAACCACAAAGTATAGAAACATTATTTTCAAAATGACCTATACAAAATGTGATAGTATGCGAGATTAATTGTTGAATGATTGTTCTGCAACCAAAACTTCTAATCAATTCAATTTCTTCGGTACATAAGACCAGAACAATTTTATGAAACATGGATTAATTTTAACCATATAAATATCTACAAATTAATTAAATATATCTCGAGAATCATGATATGATTTACATGTTGAAAATTAATTAATTTTAATCAAAAAATTATATTCATATATTATCCTTACTCATCTATCTATTAATATGTGTTATTATAATAAAATAGTTATTAAGAAAAAAATGTACGAAATAAAAAATTTATATATTTGAGTATAAATGAGAAGACTATAATTATATATAATATAATATAAAGACATATCGCAGTTATTTAGGTGGTATTCCGAGATTGAAGAGATCTCTTTCCTCTCCTGAATTAATTGATATAAATAAGACATATGATTCAAAAAAGTGCTATACTTTAATTTATGTATTTTTTAACAAACCTAAAAGTTATACACACACACACACATATATTAAAATACATATGAAAGAACAATTTAAAGTTAAAAAAATTAATAAATCTAATAAATAATATTAAATTTATAATTAAGTTGTAACACTTACTAATAACTATGAAAAAAGTAATAAATAAAAGTATTATAATTAGTAAGAGTAATTGTAGAACTTTTAAATTTGTACTTATCGATGTAGACGAGCTAAATTGTTCACCACATGTTAAATTTTTGCGCTTATTAGTTCAGTGTATAAATTTTAAACGATAGACAATAGTTATTTATATTCTTATCCATGTAGGTTAGAAATTTATTTTTTATTTTTTTAAAAAATAATTTTGATTTTAAATAACGTTTTATTTGCTATTAGTTTTTTAATATAATATATAAATACCATATTATATATATACAATAATGCTTTTTAATATTTGATATTTAATCTGCAATTTAATGTGCAAGAAATGTAACTCAATCGATAAGTTAATAGGTAGTTTTGCGATAAAATAATGAGCGATTTCTAAAAAAATATATGGATTAAAAAGTTCATGTGTATATTTTTAATAGAAAAATTATAAATACATCTAATTAATAACAAAAACTCTTACATAAAAAATATAATTTATAAAGGAATAAAAAAATGTTACATTGCAATGAAAAATTCAACGGTAAGACATCCACTGAAAATCCCAAATGATATTTTATTCGTATAGCTGTTATTGTAAAAATTCATTGACTATTCCAACAGAGATCAAATTACATAATATTGAAATTTCAGTGGATTTAATTAATCCAATTATCATTATTTATTATTGTGTGAATTTTCGTTTGAATTTTTTTGGGGTCATATTTCAACAGTTGGAAAAAGACTGGAATTCTAAGAATTTCAATGGAAGTTCTATTCAAAATCTACCTGCAGTGGTGGATACAAATTAATTTCATACTTGAGTCATTATTTAGTTAATAGAAAATGTATACCATTAAAATAACATAATGTCATTATAATTTATAAATTATATTTTTCATAATTTGTCATCTTTCTCAATACAGTTACAATTAAAAAAACATAACTTTTCTCAATTCAACATAAACAAATAATTGAAAATAATTATGTTTTTTAAAATTGTATGAACAAAAGTTGACACGACAATATTATTGATGAATTTATGAATTATAAATATTTAATTGTAGTATAAATTAAAAAAAAATTGTAATTAAATATAATATAATATAAGATATACAAATACTTGATATATAATGAGACAGATGATCAAAAAAATCCTAGACTTTATATTATGCATTTTTTGACAAATCTACAGTTAAGAACATGTAAAAGAACAAGATAAAAGTTTTAAAAAATATTAATTATGATAAATAATATTAAAAATAAATAAGTTGTGACACGTACAAATAAATATGGAACAAAGTAATAAATAAAAATGTTATAATTGATAGAAGAAATATAAACTTTTTATAAATATACTTATCGACGTAAACGAGCAAAGTTGTTAAACGCTTGTTAGTTTTTTGTCCTTATAATTTTATGTGTAAATTTGATGTGATGGACAGTAGTTATTTGTACATTTATCCATGTAAGTTACCAAAAAAAAAAAAATCTTTGTTATTCTAATTTGAAATAACTTTTTATTTGCTATATTAGTTTTTTTAATATAATATATAAATATCATATTGAACATATAAAATAAGAAATATTATAATTTTTAAATATTTAATATGTATAAAATGTAACTCAATTGATAAATTAATAGGTAATCTTGAGATAAAATAATGAGTGATTTCCAAAAAAAAAATATAGGAACTAAAAAGTTCATGTGTTTAATATATTTTAATAGAAAAATTGTAAACACAATTAATAAATAAATACTACATAAAAAATTAATGTTTAAGAGGACTACAACAAATTGCTATATTGCAATGAAAAATTCAATAGTAAGGTATTCTACAGAAAATTTCAACGAATATTTCATAAATATTGCTTTTATTGGAAGATTTCATTGGCTATTCCAACCGAGTTCAAATTAAATTACATGAACTTTAGTGGATTTAAAGATTTCAATTACTTGAATTGCCATTGGAACTTTTTTTTGGACCATATTTCAATCATTGGAAAAACTGTCATTGGAATTGTGCAAAAATTCAATGGAAATTCCATTGGAAAGCTAATTGCAGTGATAGATCCAAAATAATTTCATATTGGAGGCATTATTTAGTTAATAGAAAAAATATACCATCAAAATAACATGTCATTGTAATTTATAAATTATACTTTACATAATCTATAACCGTTCTCATTTGTAATACATTTTAGTAAATCAATACAGTCACAATAAGATAAAGTATATTTAAGAAACCAAAAGACATGATTTTTCTCAATTCAACTTAAGAAGATCGTTATATACTTGTTGTAATTTTTGTTGGAATCTTCTCATTTTCTTGTAGTAAAAGTAAGACTCCAAATCTATAAAAAAAAATATAAAAAAAAATTGCATTATATATAATATTGTGTGCAACTATTGTTATGAAAAATTTGATATGATATAAAATATAACACATTCAATGTAATTGTCGTTTAATTTATGATAATAAGTAATTTTCGTTTCAAAACAAACAAGATACTTTAAAATTGGGTATGTTAATCTTAAAATTTTTTAGTTAAAAGTTTAATTATTTTCTATCATTAAATTTTTTAATTTTGAAATGCTTCATATTTTTTATTTGTTACTCTTTTTGTATGTAATATCACATCATTTCTTTTCAATAATGTTTGAGTTGACCAATATATTGCAAATAAAATAAAAATAATATAATTATTTATATCGATATATATACACACACACACACACAGACACACACACATATGAGTACTAATTTAAAAATAATAAATTAACCTAAGATTATAGTATATATTAATTTTTTTATTCAAGTTAAATCAATTTTATTAAGTATAAAATAACATAAGATAAACTTGTGGTATATTTTTCTTACACAGATTTGAAACAATTCATATTAAAAATAAAAAATAAAAAAAATGGAGGTAAACTTACAACTATTCCCACGTTTTGTCTAGAGCGCCTATTCCCGATATATATTTGACACTGGTTTGCCGTAATGCTGAAACTATGACAAATGCACCTTAGGTACAAACGAAGCGAAGCGAAGTGAAGTCATAGATAAAAGATGGAAAAAACAAGGCCAGAGAAGGGAAATGAGATATTATTAGTTATGTGAATTAAAAAGACAAATAAATGAGTTGTACGTTAAACTATTATTCAATTACTGCTTAAAAAAAAACCCTATAATGGTGGTACCATATATGTATTCAGTGATTATGAAAATGACTTAGTTACCTAATATTTTATCAAACATTAGAAAAAATTGTAAACTTTTTAATCTAATAATTCGTATAAAAAGTACATTTATATCAAATATATTAAATTTACATTGTATCTTATGTGATTATGGTAGTTGTAGCCTAATAAAAAAGATAATTTGAAAACATCATTATATAAAACACATACAAAAAATAACGCAATACATATAAATGTGCTTTAATTATTTAGCAAATAAAATATTATTTTTTTATAGAATAAGAAACAAATTATATAATAGTAACACAATGAGAAAAAGAATACGTGTGAATTTTCTTAGAGAAGTATGAATACCAATATTTACAAACAAAAAGTCTTTGAAAATTACTACTTTTTTGTTGCTAGCGTTTAAATATATGGACTCTATAAGAAATTTGTTTTCATAAATAATGATCCTATATTATTTATTTTAATTTTAAATAATTAAAAAATCCAAAAATTTGTAATACATAATGTATATTTTAATCATGACTACATAATAATAAACTTTGCAGATGACTAAGAGTATCGTAATATTCTTCTCCTATCAAATATTTAAACAAGTGATATGCTTCTCAATATTTTCTCATTGTTTTGATTGTTTTGTTTTGTCATTGTTGGAGAATAAAGAAATGATCTTTATCTTGAATTTTATAATCATTTTGTATGATGAATAATGTTGGACAATAAAAGCATTAAATAAGTTATTAGGCACACAAATATTGCATATTCAAACGAATGTGAAAGATATTATGATAAACAATTCTAAAATCATTGCAACAACCATGATGGTCAATAATTTTCAAATAATAGATTATATTGTTCGTCTATATTCCAAATAAATAACAATGTCGGAGTATCAAAAGAGTTTTGATGTTCGAATGAAGTTGTCACTTTTTATAGAAATATTTATAATCTCATTGGTGTATTGTACTCGAACATATGTGCTATTACTTTAGAGGTACGTTCAGGTAATGTATGATGATTTCAAAAAATAATTTAGCACATCGAGAGAAGTACATGTAACCAAAATTTTGGAAAGTTAACTTTTATTTGGAGATAAAATTCATTCCCACCTCGTGGGGCGATGCATCAATGGAGTAGACACCAATATGTCTAGAGACAGAGGAATGTAGTAGTTTATATGCATCAATGGAGTAGACACCAATATGTCTAGAGACAGAGGAATGTAGTAGTTTATACAATGATAGAAAAATACCAGCAATTTTAATGACACAATTAGTTATTTCATAGAGATATTTATGCATTGTTAGTAGAAGTGCCTTATTATAAAGATTATACGATCATAAAGTTTGACTATATGTTGGGTCAGAATGTTTCTTAAGTGTTTGAATAAAATTAGCGTTTTGCCAAATGAATTAAAAGGAATTTTGCAATAGTATTGATGTATTGGACTCTAGCGAGTATGAATGTTTCTATGAGAAAGATGAAAGAAAATATTAGTGTTTTTTGTATTAAGGATTTGTTTTTTATATATTTTAGTTGGGGGTTGTAAAACGTTAGTTCACTCTTTTTATATTAAGACATCATTACGTTAATTCTAAATAAAAAAATTCACATGTGAATTCATTTGTTCTATATTTATTTCATTCTTGGAATGATATGTTTAATAAATAAATTAATTTATTTTACAAACTTACTCTGCGAAAATCATTCGATACCACGTGCATCGCACGTGCACTTTACTAGTTTGCAAAAAGAAACATATTTGCATGCAATTTATGTTTCGCTTTTACATTTTATTTCAAAATTTGACCTTTTTGTTATGGTTTGCAGGTGAAGAATCTACTGCAAGATATAGCTGGAGCTTTGTGTGGGTGATTATTCTTGGTTTGGCTTTAGCAGGAGTTTCAGGGTATGCACTGTACAAGTATAGAATCCGGGTGAGCATCAGATTTTGTTTTAAAAACATAGAGATTTTTTGGGCTTTTACGACTCAATTTTTTCATTGTGACACTGAAACATTTTTTAGCAGAGATACATGGATTCTGAGATTCGAGCAATCATGGCTCAGTATATGCCCTTGGACAATCAAGGGGAAGTTCATTCTTAAAGATGACACATAAATACCAATAACGGGCAAAGAAAATGGAAATAAAACGAAATGCAAATCTGTATCGACATCAGTTTTATTCGGTTGTGAGGGGTTTGCTGTCAGTTGTACCTTCTGACCATATGTTTATAGATGTAAGGTTTGAAACTTCTGTACATGTAGAGTTCTGGTTTCTCCACACTTCGTAAACTCCCATTGATTTGGGAAATTTTCAGTTTGATGTGGATATTTTATGTTCATTCATAAGGGGGGCTTTATATTGGAGTATGGAAATCAATTTACATGTTTTTTGTTTTTCTTAAACACAATATAAGGTTTAGTCCCAATTATACTACGTAAATAAAAATCTCTACTTTTACTATCAAGTGTCCGCTTTTATTGAAAGAGTCGCTACGTATACTCTGTTCATGTTTATATAATTACCTCAGAATAAATATTTCATCCCAATATATATATATATATATATTTTTTTTTATATAGGCAAAAACCAACTTGTTTCAATGCCAAAGTAAATTCAATTCAAATTAACCGCGATGTACACGTGCAATTAAAACCACGCTCAAAAGTATCAGATATATATAGTAGCAACATGAAATTCATATTCTGAGGATCCTCACGCATTCAATTCTTCCATTTCAAACAGTTTCCCATTTTTTT